TGGTTTTTGCGACCGGCTTTGAGTTTCCCACACATGCTAGTGGAGCCTTCTTGTGGCCCTGCCCGACGACCTGCAACACAGCTGATCAGCTCTGGCACGCGAGATCTGCAAAGCAAACCTCGGCCTTGTGCATCAACCTTCCCTCGCGCAGATCCCAAATCTTCAGCGCTCCATCCTGCCGCATACACGACACATGTCTTCGGCAGCGAAACCCGAAAGTCTCGAAATGCCTGCTGCACGGTCAGCTATTGCCAGGTCATGTGAGACGCCGTGCTTCTTGGTACAAGTAGCTGTGCCGTCCTCTCCGGTCGATGCGAGCTGTTCCCCGTAAGGATGGAAGTCAATGGAGGTGATGCGGCCTCGGACAGAATGCATGCCTGCAAAGCCTGATCGCGCGGTACATGAGACCCAGGACCGCGCCTACATGGGCATCGTAGTGCTGCAGCAACCTACGCCTTGGAGAGAAGAGCTCGCGCATGTAGGGCTCCAACAGAACGTCAGGCAGAACGAGAAGATCCAAGCTTCCGGCGAGCGCAAGTCCCAAAGCTTGATGCAGCCATCATGCCCACACGCTGCTATGCAAGACCTGATCGGCGGCAATGAGCAGCATTTCTCGCCCGCTCTAACTCCAGGCAACCATCCCACGCTGAACCAATTCAAACTCATGCAAACGACGTCTTTACTTTCCCGACATCTCACCCAAGTATCACGACTACTTGCCCAAGACAAGACTAGCAGAGAAGGGAAACTTTTGCGAGATTGATAACCGAGTCTACTGGCATAGCGCAATACATGCGGAAGAACTGCCAGCGAGATACTTTGCCTGCCCGTGCTCTGCGGAGCAGGCAGCTCTTGATCGAATCGGTTTCAGTACGCAACGTCGCCTACTCGCATCCATGTAAACGAAACTTGCAACGCAGTCAAGAGAGCCGTTGATACTGTGCAACTGCGCTTAATTCGAGCACACAGTGGAAGCACAGCATGAGGAACTACAGTTCTAAATGGGGAAACACGAGGCGCCATTCACATGCTGAAAAACGTGTTGGTGAACACGTTTTGCAAGATACTCCAACATCTTGCATGGGTTGTTCACTACAGGCCCAGGACCGAATGTCACACTTGATGGTTCAGCACTTCTGCATACTTGGATTACAGACAATGAATGTGGATGGGAATAGCATCTACAAAGGACGGCTACTCCATATGCAGGTCTACAAGTTTACTTCCATCAGAGACTGTAGCTGTAGCCGTAGCCTGTAACTAATGGCCATGTCTACTCTTATCATCCACATGACAAGTAACGCTCAGAAAGAGAGGACCCTCTGCAATATCACTTGCACAGAGGTGTTGTACTGGGGAAGAGCTAATAGGTTGACCGTGCTATGTATGCCGCATATTCGCTTGGGCTGTGGTCCAAGGCCCCAACCCGTCCGGATGGAACCTGACCTTGGCCACGGGAACCTCGAAGTCGGGAAAGGTCATGAGCGTCGCCTGCCGTTTGCAGAAGCTGCTGGCCGGCGTTTCATTCAAGCACACCCATGGCCTTCTTGTCCACATCCCAAACCCGTATGACACGATCCTGCAACAAAATGCGATTATGCCTCATGGCAGAAACCGAAACCAAAGAGAAGAGCGACGTCAGTGCTGCAAGGATACATGCGACCCCAATCCAACCATTCCCACCCTTCAAAAGTGCAAGCAGCTTTGCGACCGATCCAAAAAAGTCCTCACCACCAGAGGCTACTAACTCGGAGTTCTTGGAGAAGTCCGCAGAATACACCTCACAAAGGACAGCTCCCAGCACCGAAGTGCCAAATGATGGCTGGAAGCTCAGGTGCATGAAGGCAAGTCACCCAGTTCGTGTGACCCAGCAAGGAGGCGTGAAAGCGCTGGGATGCCACAGACCACCTCGACTCCGCGCGCAGCGAGAGTTTGTAAGAACACACGTGTCGCGACGCGCCAGTCTGAGATGCTGGCAACTTTATGGTCTTGTCATCGGATGCAGTCAGCAGGGTGGAGTCGTCTCTTGAGAAGCAGACGCTTCGGACTGGTGCTGTATGCACCTTAGCCGAAGAGCTGCTCAGAAAGGCTCTGCCCAGTAGCGTGGGCACCTTCATGACCTTCGAGTCGCCTTGGGCGGAGTTGGTCCAAAGTCGTACCTGGCACCGGCTGATCAACACCGTCTTTGGCTCTTCTCCGAACTTGGCTGCCCAGTTGCGGTCTGATCCGCTGATGCTGATGCGATGCACTGGCCCTGGTCGTGCGCGTGGTGCAAAAACATTCAAGATGCTAAGCAACACCACTTTTGAAGCTTCTTGAAATCAAGGCTCGGAGCGGCTGATGGCGAGGTCGTGCACTTCGCCCTTGTGGCCTCGGCTATGTCAAGCTGTGGAACATGCCCCTTTTCTGTTGCCACGATGCTGTTTCTGGTTATGGGGCCATGGCCCTGGCGGCAGGGGAATTGTCATGTCAAGTGCTCTACTACAAGGAGATGCGTCAGAAATGCACGTGATGAAAAGCAACACCCGGTAGGACAGAAAGATGCAATTAGCCCAGCTAGCAATTTTCTAGATGCTGACAGAATCGAGTGCTCGACCAACAAAGCGGAAAGGTCGAAGCTGCGGCTTGAAGTGCCAGACCTGTGCCGCTCCACTTCTCTGCTGCGAACATGTCCAGGTTGAGGTCCGAGCGAAGAGGCAGCCGTCATGAGCTCCAGATATGGCCTGCAGGCAGATGACTAGATCGTTTCACCTCGCAGATCCGCCGCGACACCCTGCTACCTGCTGCTCTTCTGGATGAAAGACCACGGAGGTGACAGGCGCACGGTGCCCACGGAAAGCTCGATCCAGCCTGGGATGACTAGAGCGATCAGCTAGCATTGAAGAGCTCAAGCTGTTGAGGCACCTTGGCTCTGTCAGGCCAGCGAGGCCGGGCATGTGGCTTAAAGTCCAAACCCTCCTTGCTGATACTGCACTACTATGCCCACACGCATCCCAGCTTCACATGGGAAACTTCGACGACCGAGGCCTAAGTCCTACCAGTGCTCGAAAGCGTACACAGTCTCTTGGGTGCTTGCTTGCTGTCTGCCACCACAGCCGCCTATGATGACTCCCCAAGAGCCTGCGAAAAGCAGGCTTCCCCCGAAAGCAGCTGCGCGGCGACAGAGGGTATTCCACTCTAGCCGCTAGACATCTTCACCCCGACCGCTGTTGATTGCAACGATCTGTCTCCATCTATTCACAATCTCCGTCTGAGCTCTGCCTTTTCAGCACCGCGGCTGGAAGTTGGGAGGCTTGGCGAGGTGTTGCGTCACTTTCGACTTCCGAGATGAACACTTCGGAGCTCAAAGATGCACATGATGACATGTGCACTCAAAGACTTAATGAGGTGGACTTCAACACCCGCCTACGTCAGGCATTTACGAGCAGCGGCCTCCAATCGATTGCTCTCCTGACTGCAAATCCAAGCTGTTGAGCAATGCATCTTTGGAGACCGCTGCAAACTAGCTCGAGTCATCACTATTCATGAGCCCCGCTCGCCATATTTCGGCAAAGGAGGGCACTGCTCACATGCACAGAAGCGACACGTGGCTGCAATGGCTGTTGTCATTGTGTAACAATGCATCACACAACTGGCCAAGGCTACTTTTTCAAGTATCCGTTTCCGTTGTAATAGCTGGCGGTGAGCTGCTCATACCAGGCTTGGTACCTCAACAACGGCACGCACAAATCACGACCAGGACATGAAAACAAGTTGATAAACTTCTGCAAGTCAGAAAACTCTGGCACGAGCGCAGCAGATGACTTTTGCCCGGATTTTGCGCTGCAAGCCCGAAGCGTGCGACGGACACAGTTGGCAATCGAAGACCTGGCAGTCGTGCATCGGGTCCAATTATGACAACGAGCACTAGGTCATTATTTTGCAAAGCCTGGGCTAAACAGAGCAAGTGGTGGGTCACTGCAGGCATTGTCAGTCACTGCTTGCCAATTTGTTTTGCCTTCGAGTGCCTGTGACACCCATATCCGTCGGCACTGACCACTGCGACAGAGGATGTCTCTTGACATGCTCCAGTGCGTGCCCTCAGCATGCATGCAAGTCTCCCGGAAGCGAAAGCGCGTCGTTGGGCAGTCCACTGCAGGTTCGTCCACTTCTGGGGATGGACGTTGTGAAGACGAGTACTTCTGCCCATAGCCGCTTTCGTCTGACTGGCCTGACACTTGCTTTCATCCGGAACTATCACTTCGCGATCGCCTCAGCATCTCTCCTCCGCTGAAACTCCATGATTTCAAACTCGGTCTTCAGCAGCTGTTTCAGCATATCCACTTCGCCTCACCGTTGACCGAGTAGATCTGGTCCTCCCTCACCACCTGCCGAAGGTGGAGGAGCGATGATGCAGCCTGTCGGAGCCTCGATTCAAGGGGCTGATCCATGTCGCCGGCCTTGAAGATTTCGTGTACTAAGAGCTGACCCTTCTTCACCTCATGTTTCAAGCCAGTGCTGGGCTTGCCACGTGCACCGGCCACCGCTGCCATGGCAGGACGTTACGCAGCTCGCCGAACTCGCCAAAGATCCATGTGGCCGCAAAGCGCACGACGTGCAGCTGTAAGATCCCCAAAGCGAGCATGGCCTCGTCTTGGTACAGTGGCGCTGCTATCAGCCACGCCACCGCCGATGATAAGGTCTCCAAGAATCAGCTGATCAAGTGGGAGTGCCTATGCGCACAACCTGCACCAGCGCTCCTCGACGGAGGTGACAAGAAGTCCCTCCGCGTCGTCGGCGAGCTTATGCTGCTGACATTGCAGTCCAATCGTGTCGCCATCCGCAACCTTGACTCGCACCAAGAAGTCCTACACGGGCTCGACCACCAAGCTTTCCGGCAGCCACCCTCCAGTATGGTCAGGATTCTGGTGTATGAGAAAGGCCGATGTCGGAAATCTCCACTAGGTCCATCCGGGAGCGCGGGGCCGGCAAGGGCCTCCTGCCACAAAGCTCTTCTGGTGTCATCCCGTCTCGTCCGGATTTGAAGGCTCGACAGTGTCGCTCGTGTGCAGGGACGGGTCCCCGTACTTGCAGTCCAAGAGAATGTCCAGGGCAGCCTACAGCACTGAGCGAGGGTTTTTGTTCTAATACCGGAGAGCTGGGACTACGTCGGACAGCCCGGGCCTTCGGGCTGGACCAGGCCACCTCCTCCAGTGCGAGCTCGGCTTGCCTTCGGCCTCAGAGCTTTGGCACTGCTTTCTGCTTTGGGTCTCGCAGAGCAATGGCAGGCCGAGACGCTGAAACCTTCCTTCTGCAGGAGCTCGATCATCTCGTTCTCGCGAAGCACGCCAGGCCTACAGCTTCCATGAACCGGGAGCCTAATCCTCATTGAGTGTGCAGGCGCTGGGGTCTGTACGCTTCATCAAAGAAGCTCCTGACATTCACAGCAGCTGAGAGTGACACTGCTGACAGCTGGTCTCAATCCTCTTTCCGTAGATGTCACTTCCAACATCAGGTGCCATCGATGGCAAGCAACCACCATGATCCAGCTTCGAGGGTGTACCATCCTGCGTCATGGGACCGCAAGCTTGAGAAAGGCAGTGACAAACTCTCGCCGGCCTCCTGGTTCATCTCTGACTCGGCCACTTTCGCATAGCGCACGGCGGAGCTTTCCCTCATTGCCTTGAAGACCACCGTGACCTCAGTCGAGATGGAGGCCAAGGCCGTACTTCGCATCAGAGCATTCAGAGCATTCGCTGTCCAAACGGCAAAAAGGCCAAGCAGAATGGTGGAGAAGCCTTCGCGGTTCGACAAACGTTCCCTCGAACGTGTGTGGCTCAGCTAGCCTGGGGGCATGCCTCAACTCCCACACCCTCATGCCTGCAAAGCTCGTCCACGACAGCCTCTCCTCTGGAAAGAAAAGGCCCTGCCACACGAGCGCGAAGACCGGGCAGAGACTCTGCCGAACCAAGGAGGCGGTAGCTGATTTCTCCTCGCAACTGCACCAGAAACCACAGGAACTAGCATCGCACCGACAGCATCGCCAGCCGTCCTTTTGCATTCCGATGGTCATGGCGCATTGGGAGCCAAAGCCCACCGCCCCAATGACGAGTGCCAACAGCAGCTGCTTCATGCTGACCATCCTGCGGCTGCTACGGAAGCTTCAATGCCTTTCTATGAGTTCTACGAGTGAAGTTATCATTCTGTGGTGCCCAGATTCTTCCATTCTGCGCATTGTCGGTGCTGCTACAACTCGTGATGCCTTCGATCTTCCTCGTATGTCTACCATCAGAACTATCATTCATCGCTAACAGCAGCAATGGGAGGAGCGCAGCACTAGTCGTAAGAGCAGAACCTGTAGCAGTCACAGTTGCACTAGCGGTAGGAGAGGAGTCGTATAGTAGAAGCATATACACGATGCGGGAGTACGAAAACGGGAAAGTCGCATCCTCAAACGAATTGAGCGAACGGAGCAGTATGGACTTCGAGCGGTTTGGCCTGACACACCATTTGATGAATCACAATACCTTCGGTGGCAAAGCGGGGCAGGGCCTTTCGCGAGAAAGCGGCTTCAGTCGAACATGGACAGCGGAGCGTAGCGGGGGACGCCTCACACTGACGGTAACCTAATCCCCATAAACCGAACGTGAGAATCCGTAGTGCTGCCGCACCGTTCGGGGATAGTGATGAAACAAGGAGACAATACCAATCATTCATCATATCCTTGCACGATCGGAAATCCCATTTGCCGTCCTGACATGCTGCCCTGCAGCAACAAGACAAACAGGCGAAAATGTCATCTGCCCCAAGGCTTGCACCAAGAGCACGACAGTCCAATCCACCTGGCAGATGCCAAGACGGCACAAACGACCCCCACAGTGGCCATGAACAGTCCAGACCACCCTCACAGAATCTGGCCTTCACAGTACCCAAGAATCGGATGATGACATAAGCACCTGACTCGGAAGAGACGCCTGTGCTCTCATGCGGCTTTCCGATCGCCTCCACCACAAAGAGCGCTGAGAAGACCAAATAGAAGGCCCAGCAGTCGGAGATGCTGATCATCGCCGTGAGCCCCACGACCAAACCTGCAGGCGAGAGATTCCTTTACACGAACTCCTCAATGTTGATTTAAGACACTAAGCCCCTCCAAAAGTCGGTAAAACCGAGCGTCAATGCGTCTGGCTTCGAAATGAAGACGACCCCTATGATACCAGTCACTGCGCTGAAAAACTCGGAGACATGCCACGCTTCTCCGAGGAAGACTCGAGCGAATGCCGCTGCGAAGATGGGTGCTGTCTGCGACACGATCTGCGAGTCTGCCAGCGGCAGAAGTGAAATCGCCAGGAAGCCGAATGCCACACCACCATAACCCACCACGGCTCTTGCAAGCAAAGCCTTCCTCTCCGGTGCTGAAACACCTATCCAAGTGGATATTGGACGGGCCTTCAGCAGAAGAACCATGCAACATCCAAGAGCTTGACAGCAGCCTCTCACCTCAGATGCAAAGCTTGGCAGCGGCTACCAAATACTCTCTCTGCCGTAGTGGCAGGTGATGCCACATCGCCGGCTGCCACGCACATCTGCTGCCCTGACACCTCAACGATTTGGAAGGTCTCCAGGCCAGAGAGGGTCAGCTCCCTGACTAAGAGAGCTTGGATCGAGAAGCCCAGTGCCGAAAGCGCGATGAGTCCCAGCGGAACCCATCCTGACATGTCTGAAGCCATGGCAATACCCCAAAAAAGACATTGTGAGCTGCTTCCCATACAAAGAAAATGCCACATTGGAGCGAAGGCTCTGCCACTGCCGCCGTGGATGGGCTGCTTCTTGTGGTGGACAGGTGTTTCAGCCTGCTCCTTTTCATGCTCCGGCGTTTGAAAAGCGTGAGCACCCAGCTCGGGGCCGTGAGGCACAGAACGTTGACCGCAAGCCATTGCCTCCTACGTGCATAATACTCACGGACTCGAATCTGCGCAGGTCATGAGAGTGGACTTCTCTGGTGTCGAAAAAAACTATCCAAATGTCCGTGACATATTTCTATCCCCATGAGTGACGTTTCATGGTTCAAGCTGCATCCATAAGCCAGTGTTCCAAGCTGGCTTCGCTCAGAACTCTGTCTCTACAAATCCGAAAAAAGATGGATGATTGGCAGTAGCTTGGGCACTTCTCCAGCTCCGAACGCAGCTGTGCATTCTCTGCTCGAAGAAGCCTCTGCCAATCAGCTCAGTTGAGAAATCCATCAGGGATCAGCATCAGCCTGTTCTCTGCAAAGAGATCGTCGTAGGCCAAGCCGGAACGATCCTGTGAAGAATGGTCGGAATTGTAAGCTCGGTTTTCAGCGAATGCTGGCTGTCTTTGCCTCCCCTGCATCGGTTGCGCTCACTGCCACACATGGGGTGTCCTGTAGCGGTTTAAGGATGGACATACTTCGTAACGCTCACCCGAAAGACCAGCAAGACTTTCTGCGCACTGTCCTCTGGGCAGTAAGTCGAAAGGCTTTTCACGCTTAGGTCACTTTGTCGGCGCCAGCTGCGCTCCTTCTCTTTGCAGCCTCGGCCGCGCATTGCCAGACCGGATGTTGCGCCTTCTCGGTGCGCTTTGCGAGTCAGACCTGGCTCTCGAGGTGGTTGTATGGGCCCATCGGAAAAAGCCTTAGCTACTCAGACCCTTCCTGCAAACGCATGAAACCTTCTGTGTGTCGTTGATCAAGGTAAGGGCCCTCTGCGGAATGCGCAGGGCAGGCGCTTTCGTCGGTGTGTCCTCACTCCAGGGTCAGACAATCTGCCCCCAATTGATGTCTTCGTTTTGGAATGATCAGATATGCTGAGTAGACGTCTCCAAGGCAAATCGACGACGGTCCGCCACCTTGGTATGACAGAGCTGAGAGAGGCATACAGTGGGGGGAACCTGGATCAAGTCAGCGCAAAGGTGTTGCAAGTTGCCAGTTTTGGGCTCCAGACCCGAAGATCTGCCTCAACGTAAGCAAAGGACGCTGTGGTCTCGGGGTGCTTCGGGGGCTATGCTCAGGGATCAGGGTCTTGGGTTTGCAGGATTGTGGATTCTACGACTTAGGGACGCTCAAGAGCTGCACCTGCGCCAGATCTGCGCATGACGCCATCCATCTCTGGAGATCTACTGCGAGCGGATGCGATGCCTAAGTTGGATCGACATGTCCATCAAAGAAAACGGAAACACGCGTCTGCAAGACCCGGAAAAATATGGAAGTCAGGACGGTGCAGTCATGCGGAGACTCTGCACGATTCCAGGCATCTCAGCGAGGCTTTGTGCTGCAATCAACGTTTCTGGCAACCGCTCAGACTATCGCTGGCCTCTGCCTCGGCCATCACCCCGAGGGCTACGTGCACAGGGATTTGCCTCCCGTTGCCGCCATGTGGAGAAGCATCTAGGCCTAGGCGTACCTTGATCGGCCTCTTCTCGGGCAAAGATATCTGCCTTCAGAACATGAAAAATCGCTAACACCCGCGGGCCGGGGGGGCGAAGGTTCGGGAAGCCAAGGCCAAGGCGGCTGCAGGCCAAGCCGGTGAGAAGCACGGCTTTGGTGCTTCTTTCGCCGCCTTCGCCTGCAACGGAAAGGCCTTAAAGGACTCGGTGATGGGTCTGCTTCGAGCCTGGAGGACGGCCGGCTTGTCCTGGGCCATCTGGGCCTTCTCTCTCCGCGGAGACACACAGGTACTCGATGTGCGTCGCGAGCCCGGGCCTTGGCCTGAGCAGAAACAAAAGGAAAATCGCAACTTGACACTGCCAAAATTAGGGCGGCACCACGGGGCGAGTTCCGGGACGATACCTGAGAGGCTGTGCTCCCACCTGAATGCGAGGACACGGGCAAAGTGCAGAAAGAGCTGCGACAGGACACACGACGAAAGACAGGCCAGGCAAACGCTCTCTCGCAGCAGGAGCCTTGGGACGGGCCTCACACGCTTCTAGATCTGGGCAAGAGTCTTCCGTCATCTTCTACGATTTCTCTGCCTGCACCTTCGAAGAGGAAGACGTCGAGAAGTTAAGGGTCGTTGGGCCGCCTCCACTCGACCTCTGCCGAAATCGGCTGAGCTCGTCTTCGCCCTCGAAGCGCAGGAATCCCTTGCCTCCCCTCCCCACCGCGCTTTCGGAAACCTGGCCGGGATCGCTGTTCATCACTGCTCTCCCAGACTGCAGTTCAAGGTTCAAGCCAGCCGGCGTCTTTCTCCTTTTTTCGCAAGTACATCTGCTGCGGGGGGTGAGCGGTCCAGGACAGCAAGGAGTCGAGTGAAAAAGCTCTTCTGCTCTTCAGGGCTCGTTTTCGCCAGCTGCCAAAGCCGTTGCACAATGCTGAGCCTCAGTGGAGTTCGAAGGGTTCTGCTAGTTTTGCTTTGGCCGGCAAATCACCTTCAGCCAGAGAACGCTGCAGTGGCTGCCTTGCGCCAGGAGCTGGCCACTGGAGCCAAAGCCGCCGTTTTCTGATGGATGGCCCGGCCAATCTCCGACAGGGCCTCAGCTCCGCAATGCAAAACCGCAGCTCACGAGACTTTTTTGGGGGTCAACTCTTTCGTCATGCGGTTGCACGGTGCACACGCCCCCGGCCCCCGGCGGCCTCGGCTTCGGCGGCCAGCCTCGTGATCGACTTCAAGATCTCCCGTTCCGCATCGAGCAAGCTCTGCTCCAGCTTCTGGACAGGTTGGCCCAGGTAGTCGTGGCGCTTCTTGATGCACATCAACTTAAGGTTGGATACATCTTCGAACTTTGGGACGAGATCTGCCTGGAAGCCTTGAGTGCAATTTGACAGTCCGGTTACTGTTTCCTTCAGCCACCTGTCATCGGCTTGGCTTCCATCGGCCTTTTGGAAAATCTGCGACTGAACCTCCAAAGCAGCTTTGGCATCTTGGAGTAGGATCAAGCCCTTCGCCGCAGCCTCGTCTATGTCCTTTTTCCAAGACTTCCGATCCCTCGAAGCCGCAAGCATCGCCTCAACTTCATCCTTCAGATCTTTCAGCTCGTGGCTCATTCCTCGCACTTTACAAAATCCGTTGAGAGAAGTACCAGTAGCTGGAAAGCAGCGCATCTCTTGACAAGGCCGAGGCGCGACTGCGTCGCATCGCTTCCAGCTCCGCACTTTCTTCAGGGCTGGCTTCAGTTGGCCGTTCTCCGTCTTCCAACCTGCTGCAAGCCCTTGCCACGCCCATCATGCCCGTTGCCGCTGTGCTGCTTTGCAACAGAAACTGAGGCCCGGACTGATCTTCTGAGGCCACTCCTGCCAGAAAAGACTGGGTCAAGGGAAGGGAAGGGAAGGATTGCAGCAGGACGGCCTCGAAGCTGACGAGGATCTTCGGCATCGCCAACTCTTTGGCTCTGCCGCTGCCGAATCTGAGCCACTGTAGTTCGCAGCTCATCATCGAGGTTGGCGGCAAGCGTTGGACCAATCTCTCCGATTACTTCTTGAAGGAGCGACTTCTTCAGCAGGAACAGAGAAGCCCAGCGATCCACTTTTGAGCAGCATAGCTGAGTGTGGGCATCCAAGGCCTTGAGAGACTCTGCCTTGGCAACCTCCGCTCTGCTTCTGGCTGCTTGTTGGGCTTCCTTTAGTATGAGCCTGCGGTCTGCCTTGCTGTCCCTCTTCCGCTGAACTTCACGGTCTGACTGCAGCATCTCGCGCGTCTTGTGGGTTAGGTTGTCCTGCATTTGTCGATATGCATTTGTCAGTTCTCGTCGCTGGCGTGTCAGAAGATCATCCACGATGGCCCTGCGTGCGGACAACGTGTCTTCCAGCGCTTGGAAGCTGTTCGCATCCACTTTGTGGACTTCCAACACCAGCTGCCGAGCAGTCTCCTTCCAAGTGGCCACCATGCGTTGTTCCTGCGTCGAAGTCCACGCAACCACCCGTGCCAAGCACTGTCGGACGGCCTTCTCTACATCGGTCTTGTTCACGAGGCTGGCGCCGTGAACCTGCCGGGTTACGCACATTCACGCCCGTGCTGCCGCCAGTGGCCGTGCCTCCACCCGCCAAGTCTCCACTGCTTGACGAAGGATCGCCTCTCTAAGAGAAGGTCTGACCCACGCCCGAATTCGAAAATTGCAAGAGGGAGGCAGGGAGGCAGGATAAACGGATGAGAAACGAGAAGAGAGACCTAGACGAGTCCTACAATGGATGCATACTGTTTTCTGCCCTCTCGAGTGCCAGGCCCACAGCAGCAAGCAACTGTCTCTCCTCTCCTGCAGGTCTTATTCCGTGACAGTCCTCTCTCCTCTTGTTATACTGCCTGTCCACTGCCCATCATGATTTTGATCTGCGGACGGATTTGGTGTGGATTACTCGTCGCGAAGCCCCGCAGTGAAAGTAGTGCGCAGCTCTGAAACGCTTGGCTCAACTCGCGTTCCAACCTCACCGTTGCCTGGGAGCTCTGCCTAGTTTCCGGTCTCACGACATGAAGCCTTCTCTCTGTCCGACCCGTCTCGGAATGAACCCAGGGTTCCCCACCTCGAGTTCCTGCGAACGGGCCGTGCCACCACGCTGCTCCTCAGCCGTGGCGAGGGCACGCAGCTCCACTTCCTTGGGAACGAACATGACGAGAAGCCACAGGCAAGCCGGCCAAGGGACGGCCAAGGATGATTTCATATGGCCACCAAAATTCAAGACGTCATCATTTACTCGAGAAAGACTTGGTGCTCGACTGAGTCGTGACGAGATGTCGTGCAGCCAGACTCACGGACATGAGCCAGCTGCTTCAACATAGTAATTGCCACGAAATATGCAAGTCCAAGCCCTCGGAACCCTCAAAGCAAGGCCTTCAAGCAGACTGGGAAGCTGTCGGAAGATCAAAACGTACTTTCCGTTGTTGATTCTGCTCGCGGCACATGTCGCATCTTTCGAAGAAAAAATGCTACAGAAAACATGAAGAAGGCGCTGCTGTCTTGGCGAACTCGGCTTGTGCAATGTCGTCTTCTCGCTGAAGATGCGCATCGATTTCAGTCTTCTTTTGAAACAGGATCGCAGCCTTCTGCGAATCCCATTTTGATTTGAACTCGTTGGACAAGGACACGAACCTTGCCAATCGTTTCTGATCACGACCAAAGCGAGACTGCACAAAGCACAGGTTAGGGGAGTCGCAGCCGGGAGGCGGCTGCAAATCGGCAGAAAGCTTCTTCGCCTGATCGAACACATCTAGAAATCTAGGGACATCAATCAGTCACTGCCGGACAGGACGGTCCACCTCCTCCAGTAAGAGGTCCAACCGTTCACTGCGGGGATGATCAAGCTGGCGTTCTAAGCTTCGCCGCAAATTTGCGACACCGGCGACTACATAGTCCTCGGGATCAGAACCTTCACACCCCCAGTCGAATGAAACACAATGAACCAAAAGATGCCGCCAAGGTACAAGTTTGGCTTTGCTTGACGATGCTTCCAGTTGGCTTTCTGGCGAGCCTGCCTTTGAGGCTGCCAGTTGCAACGCGCTCGTGGCCATGGCCAAACGACCTATCCACGGACCTGTGTCCTAAGCGCCTGCTTCCCATTACGACGTGGTTTTCCACTTAGAACTGCATGATCATGTATGCTGCGACTGCTCATGGCGGCTCTAGTGTCACAGAAGGTCAGTAGGATGCAAGCAAAATCGAGGCAAAAAGTCGCAACTCTCCGGAGCGGAGCCTTCTTGTCGCTCTGGCGATGGCTCTGGCAACCGACCAGAGTGGGCCTGGACCCCGGGACCCCGGGCCGTGTCGTCTGTGTCCCTATCTCTCGATGCGCTTCCTTTTGTCCCTCTTCCTTTATGAAGACTGCTCACCAGCAACAAAACTTGCGCGTGCCTCGTGCACTGAGCCGGTCGGGCTGCGAGCTGCATCCGGCCTCACTCGATAGGATCTGAAACGACGAGCGTTGACACAGCCATGCGCCGTCACAAGGGGCTCCGACTCCTTTACCACGAGAACCTGCACAGGCTAGGAACTGGCACAAGGTCATGATTCGAGCAACATGGTCTGGCCAGTAGTTTGAAGAACTTGTCAAGTTGATGCCTTCGGTGTGATTGATGACGTGGTCTGCATCTGCCGCCACCTTCAAGGGGTCAACATGTCTTGTCGGTCAAATCTCGGCGCAGCCTCTGCAAGCGCTTGCCAAATAAGCTCAGCCCGGCGGCTGGACAGGTGCCTCTGGTGCCTGAAGCGCGTTGGCAGCTCGCTGCTGCTTAGCAAGGCGACAACCGGAAGGGGTGGGAACGAGATCTTCAGGGTGAGATCTCCGGCACCGGGAGCATGCCTGGACGATGGCTTGCCGTGGCAATACTCCACCGACTGACGAAGGAACTGCCTGCGCTTCAGACCAAATGTGCAGCAGCGCTCACGTGGCACCCGCGATCGCATGCTTTCCATTCTGAGATGATTGTCGATCATGCAGCTGGTGTTTTACACCTTCGTTGGCTGAGGCCTGCCAGTTGGTTGCGACCAATGGCCTGCACGTCACAAATGGCTGGCTCAACAAACTGATGCAATGCACATCTTACGTCTAAATGCATCCAAAGGGCCGGGGTACAAGCTTCATCTGGCCATTAGACGAAATTGCAGGAGGAGTGTAGAACCGTGCCTGACAGAACTCTCAAAACCCGCGGCACGACAACGCCTGCTCGACGCAAGCCACCAAAATGCGGAGTTGGGTCACAAAAAAATCTGAAAAGTTAGCCCCGGACGGCTATGGGCACTGCTACTGCAGCCGCCATGTCTCCATGGAAACAGGCTGTAGCCGATCAGTCACCGTCGCACTACTGGCAGAAACATCTTGCGCCGAGGGCTGAAGTCTGCATGAAAGACCTACGGGTGAAGTCTTGTTCAACGATGCAGCACACTCGCTGAGCCAAGCAAGATTCAACACTGCATTCCGCCGGTAACGCCTCGAAGTCGAACTAAATTTGACCGTCGCACAACCTGGAAGAAGTGAAGTCTGCACGACCGCACGCACGGCATAGCCTCAGCCTCGTGCCTTATGGGGAATGTTGTCTGTATGATGTGTGACCGATACTGCGAAATTTCCTTAAGAAAATCTAGAACAATGGGGCTGAAATTGAAAACTGATTTTTTTTGAAACGGGGGGTTTGAACAAAGGGGTGCCATTCACAGAGCTTCGGAAAATTGGTTGTTGCACGAAACGAACAAAACTGTGCATGCATCTTCATTGATGCGCAAGTCCGGAAGCAAACTCAAAACGATTGCATCGCGACTTTCTAGCACAAGGACAAACATGTCATTGATAAGTCCGCCAAGAAAATGAACACACGTTTGGGGCTTCAAGTTCGTATCGTTAAACCGTTAGACATGTCCTTCAAAACGAAAAACTAAGATGGCCATAGCTCCACCACACTCAAACCGAACCGTGTTTTCGAATGCTAACAACGAAAAACTGCGGGTACCAATTGCATCAGTCAAAATTCGCCTACACCAAGGCTCCCAAAAATTCCAAATACACAACATTGCTGCATCACGCAAAAATGTTTTAACCTCGTTCGCTTTGTCCCGGAGCAGGAAGGCACGGGAAAAAACGCTTGATGGCACGGATTAGCCTGCGAACCACTCTGCGCCTTGAGGCAGAATGCCGACGCCCGCAAGCATACATATCTGGAAGGACAAGCAGAAGAACCCCAAGAGCAACCACAACCACACACCAACAAAAAGAACAAAACCAACAAACATTCAGTCATTCACTCATGCAGCCATTCATTCATTCAGTCATTCGGCCAGTCATTCAGTCATTCAGCCACTCAGTCATTCAGCCATTCAATCATTCAATCATGCATTCATTCACACATTCACACATTCAGTCGTTCGGTCATTCAGTCATTCATTCATTCATTCATTCATTCCATTCCATTCCATTCATTCCATTCCATTCCATTCCATTCCATTCCATTCCATTCCATTCCATTCCATTCATTCATTCATTCATTCATTCATTCATTCATTCATTTTGTATTCGTTCATTCCTTCATCCATTCATGCAGTCATGCATTCGTGCAGCCTTGCATCTTTGCATTCGTGTATTTATGCAGTCGTGCATTCGAGCATTCATGCCTTCATGCAGCAATCATTCCTTCATCCATTCATGCATGCATGCAGGCATTCATTCTGAAATCAACTCATTCATGTTCCTTCCTGCCTTCATTCATTCAGGCATGCATCTATTCAATCATTTCAGTCATTTGATTCATTTTTCTTTCATTCACACTTTAATTCATTCATGTTGCATGCTTTATTCGTTTATTCAGTCTTCAATCATTCCATGTTTCAATCTTTCCATTTGTTCATTCATTTCATTCATACATATTTCCTTTTTTTGCATGATGCTTTCGTTCCACTCATTCATTCAGCATTTCATTCCATTCGAATTCATTTCACTTTTTCATTGATCCGTTCACTCATTCATTCATTCATGCTCATCTCAGCTCATCTAAATCATTCATTCATTCAATCTTTCCATCATTCGTTTAATTTCATTCTTTTCAAACTTTCATGCTTTTTGTGATTGTATGCTTCCATGTGACAAAATGATCTAGCAGTGAAGAAGCCGCATTTTAGCTTCTCTCATGACATCGCATACAAGATGATCATCGAAAAAGAAAACCGCCGTCCCACACCACGCAAAAGTTTGTGTGTGCCAAGCTGACACGGGAATGAGTGCAATGTCGCATTCCAACAAATTCGGCTCTTTCGAAGAAAATTCAACTGAGGCCTTTTAAGAGTGTCTTTTGAAGGTGTCCTTTCAAAGGGAGTCTTGGACTTTGAGGCTGTGCCTCTTCCACATCAGCCTCTGCAAATCCTGTGTCCACTTGCAAGGTGGTGCGGAGACAAGACTATGTCCCAGTTCCTTCTGCAATGGACATAAGACAGTGGTCGCTCAACCTCCGCTGTTCGTGTTAGCTGCCGAAACGTCTGATGGTCGCTCGCCCCCAGGTGTCTTCCGCCGAGCAGTTAGAAGGGTAGTCTGCGACATCCGTCTTGCAATTCACCGGCTGAGCACACAACAAGCCAGACCACTGTCAATCTTGCTGGGCGGCAAAAAACAAGCGGTTTCACTCGATTCCGACTTCCACTTTCCAAGCACGTCTGTGGCGCTTTGCCTTCTTCGATGCAAGCGACTGCAGGGCTCAAGTCCAAAACCACTACTTAGTGCCACCGAGCCTAGCCGCGACCATTCCCCAAGAGGACGGAGTTCAAGGCGAAGTGCTAGTCGTGCCAGTGGAGTTTCTTCTGGCTTTCCCTCAACCCCTCGAGAGTTGAGTGCACCTGGCTCGCGGACTCGTGGAAGCTCCCTTTGCTCGGAACAGTCCGACAGCACATCAGGCTGCTGTGCCCGACGGAGCCGATCTAAACCCGATTGGAACCTGGATTCAACCAGGTTTGAACTTGAATCTGGGTTATTCACTCACGTTCCAAACCTCGCAAGAACCTGGTTTCAAGCCTGGAGATTGCCTGGATCGTTGTTGCTGCTTCCCTCCAGGCTCAAATGCAAACAGAGCCAACAACCAAACAAAAGCAGCATAAAACACGGCGGCTAATTAACAGTCCTGTTCCCAAGGGTTGCCAAGTCGATCCCATGGACGGCTACCGTCAGGCATAGCATCCTGATTGGACTCTTGTGCCACCAAGTAATGGAGTAGAACTTGGGCCCTGCAGTCCACAGGCCACATCAGGGCCACGAACGCCACGAGTGGGGCCTCGGAACCCCACGGCGGGAGGCTTTGGAAGGCTTCGTTTCTGTTTCGAAACACCACAAATGACGGTTCGAGAGGCTTTGCACTGTTAGTCAAAACGGCAAGCTGCACGACTCCAAATGTAGGGCTGAGAAAGTCCAGCAATTCTGGCCTCGCTTGAGTGGGCCTCCCCTGTAGAAGTCCATTTTGCGAGCGCCGCGCAACCAGAACACAACAACAGCACTGAGCTCCCAACGAAGGTGGCAGTTGTGCGACGCAGAGGGCGAAAGAAACCATTGGAGGGGAGAGAGCCGACCAAACCGGAAAAAAAATTGCAGCCTTGTGCGACCACGGAAGCAAGGCCATGCATGCTTTACCATGCGCAACCATGCATTGGGGAGCGGAGCAGGTGATGTAAAGCCGATTCCACTTGGATTCAGGCTGAACGATTTTGCCGGCCTTTCTGTCTCAATCTGCACAGTGATTAATTTTCGATTGTTTGCTTCTTCCACAGACCGAGCGCAGCAGCCGCTGTCAACCCGTTCATGCCAAAAAAAACCTGCAACTGTGGCTTGAGATTGGTTCAATGCGAAATGAACAGGAAACGACAAGTGCCGACATGTTAGGTGAGTTCTTTGCATCAGCTCGATTGCAAAAAATGGTTTAAAGAGAGGATTGTGGTTTGGTCCACTCTGCATTGGAAAGAAGCCATAAGAGAATTTGGAGCGTTCACGAAATTGGAAAGTTGGAGAATCAGGTTGCAGGATTGATTTTCTCTTTTTGAACTTTTCGTCCGCCTTGCTCCAAAAACTTCGTGAAACAATTGAAAGTCTGGAAAGTGGTTGAATTTCATTAAGTTGCTTCTTTCCGCAGTGTTAGAGTCTGCGGATTTTCCAACCTGGGTTCAAAACTGGGAAGTGATGGTTTAAACCCGGGTTTTCGACACTGATCAACTTCTCGAAGCCGTGAAAAAGCTCCTGCTCACTGGCAGCTTTAGATTTGCTGCTTTTCACTTGTTCCAGGCCTTCTAAACCACGTCTGTTGCTTTCACTTGGTCCCAGGCCTTCCAAAACCCACCGAAGTGGTGTCCAAAAGGCGCAGTGTTGCTCAGACCCTTGTTCCTCAACCCCGATTCAATAGCAGAATGTGTTTGAAGCGGGATATGTGTCCTTGAATCCCAGTTTTTGCAAGGAAAGACTTGCTTCGCCGTCCGTTCCGGTTTTACGCAGTGTTTTAGGATGTGGTGAAAGAATTTGTGGGGAATTTGCACCTTCTGACAGAATTAGCTGAAACTGTAGCAGTTGCTACGAATTCGTTATTCCATGCGACGTTTTAACCAAACTAGAAAGAGCTGGTATAGTTTGAAGCAAGTCAAAACGTCTCAGCGAGTCGCCCGGAGTAGCGGGGCACGGAGTAGCTGAAACTGTAGCACTGGCTACGAATTCGTTACTCCATGCGACGTTTTGGTAAATCAGACTAGAAAGAGCTCAAAGTTTGAAGCAGGTCAAGACGTCTCAGCGGCCTTGCAGGAGGGTTTAGGACAATAGCAACCGGCGCACTTCTAGTCGAAACCGCACGTTTGATGTTATGTGTTGGGTTTAACGTTTTTTGCGGATGGGGTTCCACACAATGAAACATAACAGAGAACATGTTCGGGGCCCAAAACCGCCCAATCCACTTATGTGTTGTGATATGGTCTGTTGTGGCCTCTAA